TGTTTTACGTACATTTCATCATAATTTAAGAAGAACTTACTCTAGCAAGGGAAACGTGTAGAATTAAGCACAATGAACTCAATCTTAAAAGAATAACTAACAGAAGAGAGGTTGTCACTATTATGAAGGTGACAAAAGATCTGTAATATAGAACATGGAGGTCAAAAAATGCTATCTTAAGTAAAAAGAGTTTGATGAACAAAAGTTACAATGAGACCCAGGTTCACATCCCGCTGTTTCACATATATTTCTTCTCTTTTTACTCTTTCTGATATCATTTACCTTTATAGAGATCTCTCGTTCTTTATAAAAATAGTATTTAATTGTTTATTACACATCCTTTTTATACTTTTTAAAAAAAAAGACATACTGTTTATCTGTTCATTGAGAGTCCAACTTAACGGGATTTTACTGTATATATATGTATATATATATATATATATATATATATATATATATATATATATATATATATATATATATATATATATATATATATATATATATATATATGTATATATACATATATATATATATATATACTCATATAGTGTCTCTTTAAGAGCATTTTAATGTAAAAAAAGTCTCTTACGACTACAATTTTAATTACTCGTCTCTTAAGCTGTTTTTGATTGTCGTCGAAATGTCAAAGCAATTAATTTATGCGGAAGTACATTAAATTTAATTGTTTTTTAACAAATTTTTAAAAAACCGCAATTATAACGACTAGAAAGTTTTTTTTAATTAGTGGTGTTTTTGTTATTGATTTAATAAAAAACATTTTTTAAACATGCGTAAATGTTGCTACATCGACTATCTTATAGCTTGACTCGCAACGGAGTGCTGCTACATCGACTGACAAATAGCCTGACTCGCAACGGAGTGCTGCTACATCGACTGACAAATAGCCTGACTCGCAACGGAGTGCTGCTACATCGACTGACAAATAGCCTGACTCGCAAGGGAATGCTGCTACATCGACTGACAAATAGCCTGACTCGCAAGGGAGTGCTGCTACAACGACTGACAAATAGCCTGACTCGCAAGAGAGTGCTGCTACATCGACTGAGGGTTTGGTTTGGCCAGGCAGTCTATCAATTAAAAAAAAAAATTTAATTTTTAAAACTTTTTCTGGTCTGGTTTATTAACGCGCTCTTTAAAACTACAGTTTATGGGAAATATTTTTTGATGCTACGCAAGAGACATGCAAGACTATATATATATATATATATATATATATATATATATATATATATAATATATATATATATATATTAGGTATATTTTTATAAACATTTGAAGAATCATTTGACAACATTTTTTTATAATTTTATTATTTATTATTTAAACTGTTAACAGTTAATATCTTAAATATATCGTAACATAAAATCTTTTGCGTCTTTTTCGTAACTGCACATTCCGGAATGCTTTTTCCGTAAGGAACTATTTCGTAAGTATTCTTACGAAATGATTTGTTTCGCAAGATTTCTTTCGCAATGCTTTATTACGGAATTTTATTTATTTATATTTTCGTATAGCGCGTTACGGAATGTAACGCAACTAAATGTTATGGTTAGTGTAAGATGGTTAAGAAGTGTAAACATGGTTAGTGTAAGAGTTAAGGTTTGGGTCAGTATCAATTAGAAACTAATGGCTTTTGCTTTAAATAGCTTTTCTTTTAATTGTTAATAAAAACCGGGTTATTTTTAAATTAACTAAGAAAAAGAAATTTAATCGTTTTCGACTAAAAAAAAACCGGCAATTATTAACGTTTTTAGTGTTATTTTTTAAACTTTAACATCAAAGTAAAGAGTTTTCCTCAAATTTTCAGGTCAATTTTTTTATACGATTCTTAATCAGCATGAAATTCTCTATCGAAATCAATCATAAAATAATAGGGGTAGCAACTGAAACAGTGCCGAAATAATGTAATAAATATTAGTATTACTGATCTTAATGCCTAAAAACCAGATTTAAAATAACATTTTTTTTCGATAACGGTTTATCTACCATTTAAAAATCGCAAGTTTTTTGTTTTGTTTTGTCAAATCAAGTTGTGTTTACGTTGGAATGCTGACGTTGCTTTGATGTAAAGTAAAAATGTAATAAATACAACGTTGTTCCAAAGTCGTTCTAACGTTAATCAGACTATAGTCTGACGTTATAACGTTACTAAACCAACGTTATAGCGTTGGTTTAATGTTAAACGACTACAACCTTGTGGCGGAATAGTGTCGCAAAATTTTGATTGTCGCAAAAATGATTGTCGAAAATGTGAAAAAGGAATAGTGTCGCAAGTTGGCGCATGTTTGATTGTCGAATAATAGAATAAGGAATAACGTCGCAAATGAATTTAGTAATTTAATGAACAGTGTCGAAAATAGAAAAAGGAATAATGTCGCAAAGGAGTTTAATGAATAGTGTCGAAAACAGAAAAATGGAATAGTATCGCAAATCAATTTCAGGAATAGTGTCGAAAACAAAAAAAAAGGAATAGTGTCGCAAATAAATTTAATTAATAGTGTCGAAAACAAAAAAACGAAATTGTGTTGCAAATGAATTTTTGAATAGTGTCGAAAACAAAAAAGCGGAATAGTGTCGCAAATGAATTTAAGGAATAGTGTCAAAAATAGTGTCGCAAATAAATTTAAGGTATTATCTTTGATTTCCAAAGAGTTTGAGATTTTTTTTGTTTTAAGATATTAAATAATTTTCGAGGACTTTTTAATACCTTTTGTTACCCATCCCAGCGGGCACGGAAACGTCCATATGACGTCGAAAGGACGTCTTTTTAGGACGTCCAGAACTGGTTCTAAATGGCAACGCCAGATGACGTCTTTTTAAGACGTAATTTGGACGTCTTTTTAGGACGGAATAAAGACGTGTTTTGAGACGTCTAAAAGACGTGAATTTAGGACGTTCAGAACTAGTGCAAAATGGAAACGCCGAATGACGTCTTTAAATAACCTAATTTAGACGTTCTTATTACGACGTCTAAAATACGTGTTTTAACATGGCTTTACTTAAACGTAAGGTTCAAATTTATGTTTTTACAGAACTTCTTGAGAATAAGAAAAAAATAATAAATTATTTAAATTTTTTAATAATATAATTGTGCTGAGTTTTATAAATTACAACTTTGTAAACTTCTTCTTCCACTTGTTAATATCCAAGAATCGAATTTTCGAACAGTTGACGTCATTCACCTTCTTTTCGATCAGATGCACTCTTTAAAATATTGCCACCAGCATTTTAAAGTTTTTTTTTTTGCTGCAGGAATCAGGAAAGCAGTCTTAACCTTAAAAAAATATTGTTAGGATAAGTATGTAAAAATAAAGGGGAAAGAAATAAATAACACACATATATATAATTATTATTTTATAAACATAACATCAAACATCAAAAAATACGAATTTCTCAACACTAAATTTATTTTTTTAAAGAAATTTTTGACTGGATTGTTGAGACCAGCGTATATATTTATGTATATCAAGTATGCAATATAATTGCGGTATTAAAAATGCTCTTTTTATAGTAAAATTATACTTACTTTGAAAGCATGCCCTTCTCAAATGCACTGCATGATAAGCCACCAACATTTAATAACTTCTATTTCTAAATTCAAAAGATAACACTAGTGTAATTGATATGGGACAATTTAGTGTAAGTTATATTGGGCATAGGAGCAATTCATTAGTGTTTTATTCAATTCAAAAATTTTGTGTAAATTATGTTTACTTGTAAAGTGAGCATTATGTATATAGTTACAGATCAAAATTTTTTAAGTAATTTACCCTTATAAAAAAAAACTAAACATTTAACCATAATAAAAAATATACTACTTTTTGCAACATTAGTATCGAGAAATAATTGATCACATTCAAGAAACTTGGTGATAGAATCATACTAGTAAAGATCAAAACTATTCTCAACTTTAAACGTTTTTTATATTTCATTATTCTTAAAATAAGTAAGTAAATGAATTAAAGACTATATATTATAATTTTTATATATATATATATATATAAATTATAATAGAAAAAATATATATTACATCTTCACTTCCAACAAGGCTGCGAAAAACCACTATAAGAGTTTGGAAGTTATTGGAAGAGAAAAGATTAAGTTCGTAGAGCAAGATAACGATTGACAGATGACTTAAAAGATTATATGAATCAGGGAAGCAAGATGAAAAAAGCAAATTCCAAAGAACTGATGTTCGAAGAAAAAAACTAGCTTTAGAGCAGTGCCAATTATAGTATTTGTAGAAAAGAGAAAAAGAAGCAACATCACGACGATGCGACAATGGTTGCAGATTGGCTGCACAAGCAGGTCCAACTATGTTTACAATGCGTTTTTGCACCTTGTCTAAAAGAGAAAGGGCATCAATAGAAGATCTGCCCCAGATATGGCAACAGTATTCCATACAGGGACGGATTTGAGATTTATAGAGATAAAGAATAGAATCTAGAGTAAGGAAGTGTCGAGCTCGATAAAGAGATGCAACCTTAGCAGATGCTAATTTTGGAATGGATTTGATATACGGTTTAAAAGAAAGATCAGAAGTAAAAGTTAATCAAAGAAGATGAAGGGTATATGACTCATCTAGTACATTACCATTCATAAATATAGGAAGATCAAATTTATTGCGATAACGATTGGCCGAAAAAAAGTTTTATCTGAAATAAAGTTCACCAGCCATTGTGAGCCACATGCTGTAGCAGAGGTGAGATTTTTATCAAGATAAATAGTAGTGTCGTCAGCGAACAATGCCACCTTAGATGTGATAATATCTGGAAGATCGTTAATGTAAATTAAAAAGAGTATAGGGCCAAGGATTGAACCTTGATGAACCTCTGAAGTTACAGGATATGAAGAAGATATATATATATATATATATATATATATATATATTATATATATATATATATATATATATAACTAACTTAAAATTTTACTAACTACATCTTTTGAAAGAAAATTCTTAAATGTTCTTTTTTTCTTGCTGAATTGACTAGGTACCTATTTTGAGTATTGAGAAGTATTAAAAAATTAATTTATAAAGATAAAAGGCCTAGATTAAAATAACTTCCAAGATAGTTATTACAAGAAAAAATATTACTTGCATTATTCTTTGTAAAACTTTAAGATTTATCATTGACTTCATAAATTTTCTTTAACTTTGTTTTGGGAAAAGCGAAACTTTGTATCACAGACTTTCAAATTTTGGAGCTGAATGAATTAAAGAAGTTGTTACTAATAAAAATTCATTAGGCATATTACATAAAATAAATTATATTACATTAACCATTACATAAAAGTGAACTATAGCCAAAACCGTTGTTCTATTTTTTTAAAACCGAAGGCAAAAATAAAAATGAACTTCAGAGTTAAATACATTTAATCAAATAAAATTTCTATTATTTAAAACAAAATTAGATACAAAAACTACAAACACATCAATTCTAGATTCCTAAATGCATATTTAAATAAATACAATATGAGTTTTTGAAATACAAAACAAAAATGTAACATAATATTACCAAATACAAACATGTATTTGACCAAAACATATATATCAACTGACACTTGATGTAGTTGACGCTCCTAAAAATAAAATCTTAATTAACAAGTAAATAAAATTTATGGATAAAGTAAAAAATATTCTTACAAGTGTTTTTTTTTTAGCATTAGCATTTTTTTTTTTAAATTTTTCTGTTAAACTTTAAATTGTATCTAATTGATGTTTCACACTATCTATTTCTAAATTTTAACTAATACTACAAATTCTACTAATTTTAACTAATAATAACTAATAGTTCTAAATTTTAACTAATTCTAATAATTTTAAATTTTAGCAAAACTCATTTTAATTTTATTAGACATATATTTTGTATTTTTACTATTAAAACTGACGCTATAAGTAAGGAATTTTAAGGAGACATTTTTCTATTATTTAAAAAGATTTGGTCACGAAAATCAATTTTTTGAAAGAAAAAATAGCAGAATTAAGGAGAAAATAACTACATTGAAAACAGAATCTTATTTTTTTCAATAAATTTTAAATAAAAACAGAAAAATTATTATAAATTACCATATTACTTATATATATATATATATATATATATATATATATATATATATATATATATATATATATAACCTTTGGATTTAGGGTCGGCATGCAGCAATGCTAAAAGTGTTTGAGGTAGACAAATAATGCTGACCTTGTTTCTATGTTTAATGGTAAGACTTTTGAATCACTTTTTTTTGCTTTTTTGATTGACGTCGACAAACTATTGTCAACCTTTTTTTTCTTAATTCCAAGGGTTGTGTATATATATATATATATATATATATATATATATATATATATATATATATATATAATAAAAATATAGGTTTGCAATCAATCAAAGGACTATATAATTTCTTTAATAATAAGTATAATCCATTTACTTTAATAAAATTTACTAGATGATAAAAAAAAAAGGAGAAATTAAGGAGTGTTTTTCATCGGTTACTTAGTAAATTGCCAATAGCATTCCAACACGTGATATAGTGGTTATTCATATGTTAATACAGTTATATAAGAGATAGGTGGGTAGAAAATTTCCTTTAGAGTAAATGAAATTTTCTACCTTCTTGTCTCTTATATAACTGTTGTGACTGGTTTAATTTTTTCAATTAGACTTATTTTTTAGTCAAAACTTTTGAACTTCACTAATAACTAATTACTAAAGTTAAGTAATTGGTTATTAGCGAAGTTCCGAAACTTGATATTGTAATATTTCAAAAAGTTTATTAACTAATGTACTGGTCCAATTATTTCGAATAGAACAATCTAAAAGTTGTTAATTAAAGATATTGAATTATATTGAATTATCAGCATAAACTCTCTGTATTATTAATAGGTTTTTCTTTTGAAAAATATGACTATACATGAGATTCTGATGTCTAACTCTTTCAAACAGTCAGAACTTGGTTGTTGATATAGTATATCAATTATTATACTTAAATTACTATATCAAGTGTCAAGTATATACTTAATATATATATATATATATATATATATATATATATATATATATATATATATATATATATACATATATATATATATATATATATATATATATATATATATATATATATATATATATATATATATATATATATATATATATATATATATATAGTATATCATATACCCAGTTTTTAACTACTTATTTCAATATCTGTATCAATTTCAATATATGTATCAATATTAATACGATTCTCAAGTAATTAAATGTTTAAATATATATATATATATAAATTAGCAAGAACCTGTCTATAAGTCACTTTTCATAAGGTGCTTTTAAAATTCTCCTTGAATCTTTGGGAAGTTCCAAACCTTGATTTGGCAATATTTCAAGAAGATCATTAACTAATGTACTGGCTCTATTATAAAATAGCATAATGTTGTCGAGTAAAGACATTGAATTCAAAGAATTATCAGGATAATTGTTCCATGTATCATTAACAGGTTTTCATATTGAAAAATTCGATTCTGCATGAGATGTCTAAATCTTTGAAATTGTTAGAACTTGGTTATTGATATAGCAATACTATACTAATAGTATATCAAGTATATATATACATAGTATAGCATATATTCAGTTTTAAACCGTTTCTTTTATTATCTGTAAAAATTTCATTACCTGTATCAATATTACCACAATTTTCAATTGATAACAAAAACAAAAATTAGATGGAACGTGTCTATTGGTTGTTGTAAAAAGACTTTTTTTGTAATTGAAAAAAAACTTTATTAAAAATGCGTTACTTTAAAATTTTGAGAAGCTTTAGCGCTTGCGTGATTTAACTAATTTTTTTTAATTTAATAAAGCATTCTGGATATTTTTTGGACGAAAAAATTATTGGACGCAAAAAAGACGTTCAAAAGACCTTTAGAATTTTAATGGGACGGACGGACGCGATTTGAACGTCCTAAGGACGTCTTTTTTACGTTCTGTGCCCACTGGGATGGTTATTCTTGACTTTAGTTTGTTTTATAAATGTTACATTTTGGGAAGTTTTTATCATAAACTTCAAATAAATGTACCATAAATGATAAAACATTTGTATTGTTTGTATCATTTGTATAATGCGTTTGATAACGACCTGTTTTTCCTGTAGTATTGAATCAGTATTACTATTTGAGGGGTTCAGTGGAAAAGTAGTTTAACATTTTGAAAAGTTTTTAAAAACTTTTCAGATAACCATTGCCAACAATATATATACAGTATGTAGTTTGTTATGGAAAAAGTACCGAACCCCAAAACCCATACAGTGCTGCTACCCAGTCCACCCACTAAAATCGGCACTGCTGCTACCTATAATCATATTTACTTTAACAGAAAAATAAATTTTGTATTGTAGAAAACTTGCCTTTCCCACAATTAACGTATATATATTTAACAATTAACGAATAACATAATAAGCGTATGTTTACAATTAAAGTATGTATATAATTAATAAAGATATAATTAATATCATTGAGTTTATCATACAATAATATAGTTTCTAGTCTCAATATTGTTTAGGCTGGTTTTTCTCTTCCAGTTTTTTCAAAACTAACATGTACTTTTTTTTATTTTTGTTTTTTGCCGTATAGATATAATCATACCGTAAACGTATGTAACTACTAATAGCAGGGGCAAGAAGAAGATAAATTGTCTTATCGCCACATTTGACGTCATTCACATTCATCTAGATCAGGTGTGGACTTTAGATTATCGCTAACAGCATTTTAAAGTTCTTTTTTGCTGTATGAATCAGGTAAACAGTCTTAAACCTAAAAAAAAATGTAAAGATAAGTATGTAAAAATAAAGGAGAAAGGAATAAAGAGAAAATTTATAATACTCTTTATGACGTAATTTAATAACTTCTACTTCTAAATTCAAAAGATAACACTATAAAAGATAACAGTATAAGTGATATGGGACAATTTAGTGTAAGTTATATTGGGCATAGATAATTCATTAGTATTTTAATCAATTCGATAATATTGTGTATGACTCGCAGTGGAGTGCTGCGACATCGACTGAGGATTTGGTATGGGTCAGCAACCTTTTCATTCATTATTCTTCGTTCTCCCTTATCGTTTTCTCAAAACACTCACTTAATTTAGACTAGCAAAAAAAGTGAGCAAATGCGCATATAAATATGCTATAGAGGATATATATATATATATATATATATATATATATATATATATATATATATATATATATATATATATATACACACACACACATATATATATATATATATATATATATATATATATATATATATATATATATATATATATATATATATATATATATATATATATATATATATATATATATATATCGATGGTTAAGAGCACAACGGGAATACGTTCACTAACCATTGTTTTGAGAAATCTGAATTTAAAATTTTGAAAATATACAATAATTCATGATATTTATTATCATGATTTTTAACGAAATGCATTCCTCAATTAATTCTGTATTGTTTTTTACTATGTTATTTTTATTTCTTTTACATACTTTAATGCAATATGCGCGCAATAACTCAAAACCGTAAAATGTTGGACATAATCCCTTTGTGCTCTTAACCATTGATATATATATGTATATATAACTTAAAATTTTGTCCTTTAAAACTTTGTCCTTCAAAAGGGAAATAAAACTTTGTCCTTCAAAAGGGAAATCTTAAATGATCTTTTTTTCTTGCTGAACTCACTAGGTAGCTATTTTGAGCATTGTGGAGTATTTAAGAAACAAGTTTATATAGAAAAAAACATAAATAATTAAAATAACTTTTAAGATAATTATTACAAGAAAAAATAATACTTACATTAATAATTAACATTTTGTAAAACTTAAAGATTTATCATTGACTTTATAAAACATAATTTTGAATCACAGACTATCCAATTCGAAGGATCTGAGTAAATTAAAGAAGTTGTTACTTATAAAAATTCATTAAGCATATTACATAAAATAAACTATTTATACTATACCATACTTCAAATGAATACATATTTAAAGAATTTTTATTCTCATATTAATAAGAATCAAATGAATACATATTGAAACTTTATTAGCAAACATTGTTGTAGTGGATTTTCAGTGGACCTATAAAAGCATTCTAAGCAGTTAAATGGAGTTTAACTCATTGTTTACTTAGTAAATTCTAAAGTGGCCAGCCGATAACATTCCATCAAGTGATTTAGTGGTTACTCCTGTTATCCACTTTTGGCTGCTGCCACTAATGGTCCATTAAGTATACGATAACCAAAACTGCAACCACCTACAATGCCTATATAAGCCCACTGAAAATCCTCTTTAAATGTTTGCTGTGTTAGATATTTTTTTAATAAATGTTAAAACTAAATGTTAAAACTAAAAACCATAAACAATCAAAAATTCATTCATATAAAAAAACATATCAACTCTTTTCCATTTTTATATACAATTTTCTCATTCTAATTTAAAGTTGGATAAGATACTAAAAAATAAATTTTATCAAATAATAAATATTAATATTAATTATAATTACCTTTTTGGAATTTTTAAAAAACGAAAAATAAAATAGCGAAATTAATTAAATCTATCTTCAAAGGATTATTTAAAAAAAATGTCTGGTACAACTAATGCCTTTATTCTTTTGTGTGATTTTTTTTGTGAAAAAAATTCAAATGAGTTTAATTTAAAAAACTAAACCAATCGTAACAATTGATTTATATAAGAGATAGGTGTGTAAAAAATTTCTTTATTAAACACAATTATTTATAAGTTTCATAAACGGAACACTTTTCACAAAAGTTGTAAGGATTATAAAATTTTATATAGTTTTTATTTATATTTTTTATTGTATAGGAAACCATTTTGCATTTATTGACTTGACTTAAAAAAAAAAGGTATTTAGTTAGTGAATTAGGCTTGGTTTTACTACAATAAATTCCAACTATAAAAATATTAACATAATCAAAGCAAGCTGATATTGTCCATAATTGTTTACTAGAGAATTTAAACAAAGGTAAACCATTAATTATAAAACTAAAAAAAATATGCTCTTAATACTTGCCTGTATTTCAAAATAAGAGTAATTATTACCAAACTTTTTAGGAACATTTAATAACTGTTTATCTCGAAGATAAAGTTTTAAAAACACCTCTAGGTATAACTTAGTTATACCTCTATGTGTTTTAAAAAACTTTTCTTGCATCTTCGCGAAGTTTCAAACCTTGATTTTGTAATATTTCAAGAAGTTCATTAACTAATGTACTGTTCCGATTATTTTGAAAAACACAATCAAAAAGTTGTCAATTAAAGATATTGAATTCTAGTAAATTATCAGGATAAACTCTCTGTATCATTAATAGGTTTTCCTTTTGAAAAAAATGATTCTGCATAAGATTCTGTGACGTCTAAAACTTTCGAATAATTAGAACATAGTTCATGATATGGTATATCAAGTATTATTCTTGTTATACTATATCAAGAACCAGGTATATACTGAGTATATATATATATATATATATATATATATATATATATATATATATATATATATATATATATATATATATATATATATATATATATATATATATATATATCATATACTCAGTTTTAAACTATTTCTTACAATATCTGTATCAATATTAACACAATTCTTAAGTAATTAAATATATAAAAAGCACATATATATATATATATATATATATATATATATATATATATATATATATATATATATATATATATATATATATATATATATATATAAATATAAATGTTTATATTATTTTGCGCATGCGTATTTTGCTGGCAGTATAGAAAAAAAAAACATTGCATTTCACACACAACTTCAAGCTATTTAAACTGTAACAAACTAAGAGTTATGCCAGATAATTTTTGTGCTGTTCGTTGAAGTAATGCTACAAAAAATGACAATGAAATCAAAAGAAACTTCTACAGAATACCAGATAAAAAACAAGCCAAGAAACATAAATTATGGCTATTATCGATAAGTTATGGCTATATCAATTTTTTTAATTTTAACAGCATAACTAAAATATTTTTATTTGTAAATTGCCCTCTAATTTCAGATTTGTTTATTACAGGAAAAAAGTCTGACGATCCTTTAAATCTTGAATTTTTATTCTTAAAACAAGATTTTTTTTCTTGTTTCAATAATTTTTATTCTTAAAACTAGAATTTTTTCTTGTTTCAAGAATTTTTATTCTTAACACAATAATTTTTTTCTTGTTTCAAGAATTTTTATTTTTAATATAAGAATTTTTATTCTTATATTAATAAGAACTTTTTTTCTTGTTTCAAGAATTTTTATTCTTAAAACAAGAATTTTTTTCTTGTTTTAAGAATTTATATTATTAAAATAAGATTTTTTTTTCTTATTTCAAGAACTTATAT